ATATATATATATATATATATATATATATATATATATATATATATATATATATATATATATATATATATATATATATATATATATATATATATATATAATTTGAGTTAATCATATTTTTAGATGTTTTCTCCTCTTCTTTTTTGCGCCTATCAGGAGACAGAAAACCCCCCAGTCCTCTGAGCAAACAGCACCAACATGAAGACTTGAACAGTGTGCATGGACTCTCTCTCGCTACCTCATCCTCCTAACTGGGACTCAAACACACCCTAATTACCAGACACATTTAACTGAACTCATTTCAACAGCTCCAACAGTAAGTGAGATCACTACAATGGCTTGTTTGTGACTGACAGTCAAAAACAAAAAAAACGCAGGCCCCGTCAACATGCGTAACGAGTGAGCTCAGCAGCTCTGTCGGCCTTCATGGCTACTTGAATGTAAGCTTGCATGGATGTATCGGTGTTTTCCCCTCCCTGGTGGATAGTTTATTTCCCATTTTTTTTATGTTGTTGAAATATTTCATGTTGCTATAGGCTGTATCTAATTGAGGCTACAGGATAAAAAAAGAAAAAAAAATACATGTAAATCCGCTCAACGTTTATTATAAGACAAGGTCTATTCAGTGATTCGCCATTTATTATTGTCCTAAATTGTGACCACGAGTGACTTGACGATGCGAACAAAGTTATAAATTGTCTAAATGTAAAATATATACTAAAGCTTTAATTATATATTTTTATAATTTCATTGTGAATATATATATAAAAAAATAAAGGCCGTCTTCAATGCCATCTGTTGTTCTAGCCTACGTTATTGTTTTATCGGTCCGTGAAGTGGCACCAAATTGAAGAAGGGGCGCTAACTGGCTAATGTAGAGTTAAGATACCAGTAATCACATTTTGTAAAGGTTTTCTCCAACTTTGTTTGCTCTTAACTTCCCTCTTTCTAGGGTCAATGTTTTAATACTATTTATTATTTTTTTTCTTGAAATTGAAAGCCTGTAATTGTGAAAATAATGAAATCACCCGTCTTACACTGACCGAGCTGAAATTTGGGAAAATAAGTTATTTTCAGTGAACAGAGGACTCGGTTAAGAGAGTGGCGTTTTGCTTGTCCTGACAACTTTATATATGCTATGCGGGGCAAAAACCTAGAAAAAAGCCAGGACTTTCTTCATATGAAAGCATTTCTTTTTTGGAATTGAACCCTAATGTCGATAACGATTAGACAACTATTTAGTGGGAATTTTGTTTACTCAGCCATGGAGCTCTCTGCAGGCTGGGCGCCTCCGCTGATGCTATCTGGCTTGTAATTGATACCCGCCATGATGGAAATCAGAGGGCTGATCGTACACCTTCATCAACAGGGTCGTACAGGAGAGCAACTAGAAATCATGGGCTCTATATGCACCCACACGAAGCCCCAGGAATATGTTTTATCCGCAGAAGTGACGGGGATTTTCCCCAATACAGGCCTGTGTGGCTCTGCCCTCCCTCTCCTACTTTGTAAACAGTTTATTCCTGTAGCCTGTTTGTTTTCTGCCAATTCTGACGAAACGACTTCTCATTGCACTCCCTCACAGGTTACTGTGTTCCACTGAAAAATCGTTGCAAAACTTTACGTAGCACATTAGTGCTAGACAAAAATTATTCTGCTGAGCTTGCATTTATATTTATTTATTTTTTTATTTTATTTTATTTTTTATTTTATTTTACAAGAACTTTCTTGATTTTGGATCAGTTTTTTAAGCAACTTTAGTTTTCGATTTCTCAGTTTTACCCCTTTTTTGTGGTTGTGTTTGAGATTATTAGCTGTTATTATAAAATATGTTTTGTCACATTTTGTTGCTAAAATATGTGAATTTAAAAAAATAGTTGTGCAACAAATAAAGCATCATTTTTTTAATTACAAATGGAAAATAATTAGTTTTCTTTAAAAGTTAAATTTCTATAATTACATGTGCATGTAATTCAGCTAAATCAATGAATAAGTTATTGCTTCTTCTTTAAATAAATGAAAAGCAGCTGTTGTTGCTGCTTTAAATAATTTTAGGTGGAAATTCAGAGGAATCTGTAGAATCACTGAACAGAACTTTCCTGTTCCAAACCGATTTCCATTTATCTTTAGACCTGACGGGCTATTTCCAGTTTGACAAACTTTTGCAGCAACTTTTACAGTGGTAGTACTTTTGAATCCAAGCCAAAATGAACAAAATGAAGGCTTTGAACAAGAAAATTTCAGATGCATCAAAAATATCACTTAAAGTTGTATGTGATTTTTCTTTTATTAAACTTTAATAAGCATGCAATAAGTTTTCAAGACCTTATAAAATATTTTGCTTTCAAATTCTTTTGATTTAGTAGCAAAAATCCTTCATACAGAAGAAATCTCTTGAGACTCATTGTCTCCTTTTATAAGAGATCTGTTGCATACATCACAAAAACATAAAAACAGTAAGACACCGATCACCATCTTTATTTGCCTCAAAAATGAACTTTGTTTTTTAGACCCATTTGATTCCCCTGAATTCTGTGGATAACATTTACTATCAGACATATGTTTATTTAAGCTATGTTAAGTAATAGATGTAAGGTCCTTCTTCTGCTCAACTGAGAATCATAGGGGAGAGAGGATCTCTGCAAAACGTTGGTTTGCTGGGAAATGCAGAAGAGAAATACACTGATCAAATTCACTTTTTTATTTTACGTCTGAGCTTCTGATTTTAACCAAGGTTTTCTAAAGTATACAACACATTGAAGAGAGAGAGAAAAACAAAAAACAAAAACAAAAAAACATGCAGAACATATTTTGACAAATTTAGTAGTTTTAGATTTCAACACATAATCAAGGTAGTATAAGATAAGCTCCATTTGCGGATCAAAGCGTGCAGCTCGAAGTTTCATCATTTTTTTTTTTTTCTGAACTCAAAACAAGCGTGTGGAAGTGTTTTGGATGGTGAATTCATATCCAGAAAATAGTGGAAGTATTTACTGTACTATTGAGAAAAGGAAAAATAACGCAATCTTTTTTTTTTTTTTTTTTTCGGATTTGACCTGAAGATCACCTAGTCAAAGCTTATTAAAGCATTTCTAGAATATTCTATGGTATTAGTTTGACGTCAAAGTGGATTTTTCTTACATAATTTTTTCCTGTGAAGCTCAGGGGCTCTCTCAGATGAATTCCTTTAGGTTGAGATTATCTCTTTCAATGTTGGAAATGAAAGCAAATTCAAATCACAAAAGTATGTTGTTGGATTTCTTTTTTTTTTTGGCATTGTTAGAACTTTCACAAAGAACAAGAAACAATTTTGAGTGAAAGGAAATCAATATTATTAATGCAATTATGGAATGACCAACTAATTTTATTCTTAATCAGTCCAATCAGCTTTGATCATTTTTCTTTTTTAATTAAGCATTGAGGGAATATTTCTCTAATGTTCTTGTGTATTTAATGCAAAAGTATTAAATAAGCCTGGGTTTTAAAGAGAACTGCATTTGACTACAGACTAGATTCAGTGTATATGTTGAATTGTTGCATTGTATGTTCATTGGTTTAAAAAGAGCTATTTCAGTTATTGAAAAAGTGGCAAAGTTCATGAAATATCTAAGTGAAGAGCAATCTGGTTGAGCTTGGAATTGACAGTTAGGTGACTGTATTGCTAGGTCACGCAAATATAAATAATAAACAAGTATTTAAAAAATCCATAGGTGAAGAAAAAAACAGACATGAAGATATGCTGGGTTATCTTTATTTTATTCCACCTGCACTATTAAAATCTAAATCCAGAAGATAATGATTATTTAAACATTCAAAAAGTCCCTTTAAGAAGGAAGTAGTTTATTAGAATATTGTCTTTCTGTCTTGCCTCCCAACATAAAGCCCATAACATAATTTCCCAACTGAGGTTTAAGCTCACTGGATACAATCTTGGTGACATGAACTCTGTTTGGCAATCCTTTTCTCATTTTTTACATAAAATCCCAAGTGGCTCAGCATATCCAAACATTAAGATGGCCTTTGAATACACATGCTCCGTGGCTGGAGTCGTTTGTGTTTTCCCGGATACCACTTGGGGTTCGGAAAACACTCCTTCATGGTGGTGGGGTTACTTCCTGCGGGACCCACGGTCATCAATCAGGGGAGCAAGTGATACCCCCCACGGCGTCTGCAGCAGACATTCCCTGCTCAGAGGGCAGCAGGTGGGCTAGTTTCAGATGTTTTTAGGAACTGACACAAGGCTCAGAAACATGCTTGGGAACGACTGATACACCAGATACTAGTGGGTTTATTTGTTTGAGTTGTTTTTGAAAATCAAAATGATTTAATGTATTTGTACAAATTTTGTTACACCTTTTATTTACTGGGATTATCCGGATTTTTCAGGTTCTGTCGATTTTCTTTTTAAATTGATTGCTGTTAGAGCACTTAAAAAGAGTCTGTCTGACAAGACAAAGTAGGTTTAAACATCTGGAAAAGGCAACACATCATGTCTAATCAAAATAATTTCAAAAAAAGGGGAAAAAAAAAAAAAAAAAAAACTTTATTTTTCAGTCTGGAATCTTTGGATTTCCAGCGAGCCTCAGGGAGATCAATAAACTACAAATGGAGAAAATATATAACAATGAAATATTATTCTATGAATGCATCACCGACTCATCCTGGAACTCACAGAAGAACCCAGATTAACATCTAAAAAACCCCAGGCTTTACTTGTCTCAGTAAAAGTTGGTGTTCAGTTATTCAACACTAAAAAAAAGACTGAGCAAAAATGATATCCAATGTACAGTTCCAAGCTGAAAACTACTGCAGCCCAAGGATATGAATGTCTCGTGTATTGCCCAAAAAGGAAAAAAAAAACAAAAAAAAAAAAACAAACATTTTGCTGATTCTCCTAGATTTTGGGGGAAATATTTTGTGGAGACTGAGGAGACAAAGGTGGAAGTTTATTTGTAAAATGTGTGTATTGCCTAAAGTTGAAAAAGGCATCATACCTACAGCGAAACATCATGGTTGGGGCTGCTTTGTTCCTTTTGGAGTTAGATGATTTGCTGTAATTGATGAATTTATGAATTCTGCTCTCTATCTGGTCTTTTTTATTATTAATATTTTGCAAGACAGTCATCCAAAATCTAAACCATAAAGAAAGAGAAACCAGAAAGTGTTTTTAGTGTTGTTGTGCAAGTCTGGCCCTAAATCAGATTGAGACTTTGGTATGAGCTCAAACAGGTCACTCACCTTCAAAAATCCTTCAATGTGGCAGATTTAAAACAATTCTGTAGAGAACATGGGGGTAAAATTCCTTCACAGGTGTTTTAAAAATATATTAGTAGATATTGTAAATGTTTGATAGTAAAAGGTGGCGGAACTAGTTCTTAGATTCAAGAGGTAATTATTGTTGCCTTCTGTCTTCTGTCAATAAATTATAAAAAAATTTGTTGTATTTATATACATTTAAATTTACTCCCAGATTCTATTTTTTTCAATGCACTTGAACACATTTAGAAGTCCAACAAATGTGAAAATAGATAAAAGGGAACACTGTTAAGCAAATAAATAGTTTGTTAGCTACTTTCCTCCTGACTCTGTGTCTTATCTTTTTTTGTGAAATTTTATTCCTTTTCAAAATAAACATTCTGGCTACCTGCCTGACTCCCAAGGTTGATCATGTATAAATAAGGTTTCCTAAACATTTTCTATGTATCTTCACTGTCTTCACAGCAACATCTCCTTTGCAAATTATGAATAATTCATAATTCACACCTTTATTTTAGTGTCCAAATTTCAAGCATGTAATTTTTAAAGTGCATTATTAGGTCCTTTCTTGTTTGTTAGACATTTGTTGAAATTTGAAGCAGCCATTAAAGTGAGAGTGAGTTTTTTTCAGTGCAATCTACAATTTTGAAAGGACAAGAATCGAGCACAAATATGGCCTCGATTTAAACCCTGCTGCTCTGTGATTTCCATGGAGTTGAGACTGTTGCATTGGAAACTTTAGCTTGAAGTGATTCACAGATAACACAAGCTCGAACAGGGAAAATAAGATTTCAGACTTGGACTTCTTGATCCTAATGGATATTATATTAAGCACTATTAGTAATCTGTGATGCAGTGCAATGATGACAGAGGCTCCTTAAAAAGCAAGAACAGACTACATGTTATTCATCTGTGACAATCTATCACTGTCTGCCATGTATGCAGGAGGGATTGAGTGTTCTTAAAGGACCAAAGTTCATTTAATGTAGTTGACACTTTGTTGGGTACAGTATGATTTAGGGCTATTTGTCTTATCTTTATATGTTCCCTTAAAGGGAAGACGCTACCCCAGGCTATCCACAAGTCATTCATTCACTCATCACTCTCCTTTTGTATGCCTCAAAGTCAACAAGAGAGCATCCCAGGATAGGCGACACAAAAAGACCATATAGGTCTGGGGAAATACAGAACTAGCAGAAAAAGAAAGAGAGTGGTAAATTGGCAAAGTGTCAAGTTAAAAAAAAACAAAAAAACAATGTCAGCACTTCTACCCCTGTCTGAAATTTGAAATAAATTGACTTATCATGGAAACACGGTGCCAGGAAACAGGTCCAACGCTGGAACATGAGTGAATAGTTGTTGTTGACAT